CATGGCGATTCTAGATAATGCCGCTGGCTTCACCTGGGAGCTTGCCGCCTACACCTCCCTCGCATGCTGGGTCGTCTATGCAGTATGCCTGGGCTTCTACAGGCTGTGGTACAGTCCCATTGCCCACCTGCCAGGCCCCAAGCTTGCCGCGCTGACGCAGTATTACGAATTCTACTATGACATTGTTCTTGGGGGCCAGTATACCTTTAGGATTGTGGAGATGCACAAGGAGTACGGCCCGGTTGTGAGGATCAGTCCCTGGGAAGTCCATGTTAGTGATCATGACTTTCATTCTGAACTCTACGCAGGGCCGCACCGCCGTCGCCACAAGTGGTTGTTCTGGGCAAAGCAGGTAAGGAAGCTTCCAAATTTGTATGGTACAGCTGCTAACCTGATGTAGTTTGGAGCTCCTCGTACGTATGATGCCAACTTGGCTGGTACATTCTGACTCCTTTCTAGACAGTTGTCTGGCGACTCTTGACCACGACCATCACCGACTCCGCCGTACCCCTTTGAACCAGTTTTTCTCGACCAAGAGCGTTCGCGATCTCCAGCCCATCCTTGAAGAACGGGTAAATCAGCTCCTGGGTCGCCTGCGTCGTGAAGGACAGAACCGTCCGACCGAGCCGATTGATCTCGTGTATCCGTTCTCTGCTTACACTAATGGTACGCGTACAGCAACATGTATAGCGAGCCTTAGTCCACACATTCTTGACTAACATTTACATTTAGACGTCATCAACGAATACGCCTTTGCGCGAAACGATCACCTAAGTTCGCACACCGGTAGAATTCTAATACTGGCGCTAACGTGTCGCAGTCGAGGAGCCAGACTTTGGCGCGGCTACAACAGACAGCCTCCTCAAGGGCACACACATGGGCTCCATCATCAAGCACATGAATTGGGCTCTGGCACTGGTTAATGCTCTGCCGGAATCCGTTTCAGGGCGCTGGGTGCCTGGTACGTTGTCTACCTCTGCAAACCCCAAGCCATCAACTCACTGTGGTAGGCTGGGATGGTTGGTTGAAGCTTAAGAACGACATTCTTGGCCAGATTCGCGACATCAAGGCTACTCAAGGAACCAAGCACTGGGAACTCGATGTCAGTCACCCGACCATCTTCCATGAATTGCTTTCTTCCGAACTGCTGCCCGACGTCGAGAAAGAGACCGCACGCCTGGCCCAGGACGGACAGATTCTCGTCCAAGGTGGCACTCTGACTACATCCTGGACGCTGTCACTTGCCGTCTTTCACTTGTGCAACCGGCCAGAAACACTCAAGAAGCTACGCGACGAGCTCTTTGCGGCGATTCCCAATGTCGACCAAATCATCCCCCTTGCACAGCTCGAGAGCCTGCCGTACCTGCGTGCCGTCGTCAAGGAGGCCCTGCGCCACGGCGTCGGCACGAGCAGCCGCCTGTCCCGCATCGCGCCCGACGAGTCGTTTAACGTGGCCGATCCCGCCACCGGCAAGTCGTACCACATACCGGCCGGCACCATCGTCAGCATGAGCCCGTACCGCACCATCATGGACGAGACCATCTTCAGCGACCCGCTCGGTTTCCACCCCGAGCGCTGGCTCGCCAAGGACGAGCGGCTGGACGGATACCTGATCATGTTTGGCGGCGGCACGCGCGTCTGCCTCGGCCAGGCGCTCGCGCAGGCCGAGCTGCACCTCATGCTGGCCAAGCTCTTTCGGCGCTGGGGCAGCGCGGGCGTGGTGGGCGGAGACGAGACGGGCGACAGGCGCGAGGGTGACGTGGGTGTGTTTAAGATTTTCGAAACGACGCCAAGAGATTGTCAGATGGCGTCAGATTACTTCATCCCATTGCCTTACAAGGTATGTGGCCGGACCGTGGATCGAGGGCTATGCTAACGGTATTTTATAGGGTAGCAAGGGTTTGCGTTTTCTTCTGGAAGCGGTTTGATTGGCATAGCGGGTGATCCTTTGAGGGTACAACCATTGAACCCATGAATCCATGGCCCGAGTCACGACACCGTGCGTATTAGTAGCTCTAGTTACGAATACAGTCTCTACTGGCAATCTAGTCTGTGTGCTCTCAAGTCGGACTTGATCAATCACCAGCAGCAGCGCGTCTCAGGCTCCCATCACATTGGTTCTCCCCGGAGGAAGGTTAGTCCATCCCAATTTTATTATCCTCGCGCCAAATTGCAACTCAATACTGTGCCTGGCAACCCCGGATCTACTGGTGCCGGGCGCCACTAGCAAGGTTCTCTTCTGTTCTTATGTAGTGGTGCTTTTTCTTTCTTCTCCATCTTGATAGTACAGTAAACAGAGTAATTTCTATAAACCTAGTATAGATCAACTCACTGGACAGCATCGTGCAATTAACCGATGTCTTCCGCCCTCTGTCTCATGTAACGAAACCGGCACCAGCCGATGAGTATAATGCACAAGCAAAGGGGAGCGAATGCGCCACGGCGGTGCGGCTGAAGCATTCCTTTTTGCAGCTAATATAGGTGGTGACCCCGATGAGTACGTTCTGCCGCCCAATGCGCGTGCAGTGGCTCGCCCTTTCTCATCGTCAGCCACATCCAGATAGCTTCTTCTCTTAGCATCATCACATTCATCCAGGTTCTTCACTTTGCTGATAGCTCGTGTCCTTGCCCGGCTCGTGGTGCCCTCGCCTCTCTTGCTCTCTCTTGATTCGCCACAGTCTCAGTCGGTCTGGCTTGGTCTGGGCTGGCTAAAGTAGCGCATTATTGCGGCGTTTTTACTACTCCGCTACCTATTAAAGTGTAGTAATTATAAAGGGTATACTCTGAATTTAGTATATTAAAGCCCCCCCCCCCCCCCCGCCCCCGACGTATACGCACGCTTCCGCATTATAGCTTCTAGTAGGACCTTAAGTCTAGTGTCGATACCTTAGTCTCGTATATCCTATCTAGCTTTAGCTATGCCTGACGATGAGTGCCTACTAGCCACGCTAGCCACACTAGAAGTGACGATAGACGAGACAGACTGCTACGAACCAGAATGTACGTACGGCAGCCGGGGAGGCGGCCCAAGGGAGCGACCGAGCGGGTGCCAGCAGGTCGCCCAAATAGGATGCCGGGTTACGTGACTGGATCACCGTGGATCACAGTAAGCCAGCGGTGATCCGAGGTAGCATCTACAACGGAGGATCACTCGGGATCGTTGGTGATCGAAAGTCATCCCGGATCATGGCAGATAGATAGACGGGTACTTAAAGAAGAAGGTATTCCTCCATAGCTAGGGAGTCTAGATCCCTACTGATCAATCTAAGCAATAGTTTTACTATTGAAAGTTCTACTCTTGACGATACTTACGCCGATAATACTGCTCGGTGCTACCCAGTAGCATTCAACCTGACTCATTACCTAAGAAGCAGGCCTACTGTGACTTAGAGATAAGCCATCGTTACATCAGGCTATAAAACTATAGTAATATAACTATAATAGCCCTATAATAGTTATCAATTAGATAATAACTGGATTTATACAATGAGCACTCCATAACTACTTATACTACGACGAAGTGGTACTCTAAAAAAGTAACTACTAAAGAAGTAGAGTATAAGGTTTTCTACTAATTTTCCCCTATAGGACTTAATCCAAGTCCCGCCTGATTTAGGTAGGACTACGAATAAGTCCTATATAATACTGTAAGCCGTCGTAGAGGTTCCGAACGACATTATCAACGAGGTTCTACGCTGTCTCGTGGCCTCTAACGTTAAGGTGCCGCTAAAGGCGGTTGATTCGAGTCAACAGAAACGGCTTAGTCGGCTTCATGGGCGCCTTTGTAAGGCAATCAAGACCCGCTCATTCGTTCCTCATACATTGTCTTGTCGCACACGCTGTCTTGTCACACACGCTGTCTTGTCACACACGCTGTCTTGTCACACACGCTGTCTTGTCACACACGCTGTCTTGTCACACACGCTGTCTTGTCACACACGCTGTCTTGTCACACACGCTGTCTTGTCGCATACATACATGGCCTTGTGGCTACTACAGGTTGCAGAAATGTTCTGGTGGAAAGCCTCATAGTACCAGTATATGATAGCCTCCGTGCTGCAACTTTGCCGTCGATACGTGCCTGCGCACTTCGGCTCGACCTGTGCTTGATTGACCTCCACCCGGCTTAATATCAATCACCATCCGATTACTTGATCTCATTTCATGCACAAAAGCAATGACAATTGTGCATCGGTGGGGAAGTCTGTCAGTCCTGGCCTCGCAATCACGAATGTCTCGTCGTACGCATCGACCGCATCGCCGACGCACGACTACAATCCCTTTTCAGCGTCAAAACGTATGTGTTCAATATCATCAACAGGATCTTTCTTCTCAAAAAAAAAAAAATCTGCTTTTTTCTAGTGAGCAATCACTTCAAAGCGCGCTCAAGATTGCTCGTGCCTTGTGCCATCCCAGTGAGAGATAGCAGAGTACCCTTGGCGAAGTGACTTTTGTGATGTGCTGCTGACACCTCCTTCCGGAAGGTAACAGGTGCTTATCTGCGTCGTAACAGCTTTCTCGACTATCCTGCATCAGTTGCTTGAACCAGCATTTGAACTGTTTGATTCTGATGATACTGTGACCCCACCGCCGCTATTACTACCAAGTACTGTGATGAAGTGGTTCAAGGAACCCATAAGAACCTCATTGAATAATCACTAGAAAGGTGTAGATTTATTCATCGGATCGAAGAGTATGGTCGCGAGCTCGGTAGACTTATGATGATTCATTGTGTAAAGCAGCTAAGAACAGGGCTAGGACACACTCGTATCGCTCCATCAAACGAAATTAGTAATCCAGACATCCATGGTCTTGACACCAGGGTTGGACATCTATTGAATATCGAATCGAATGCCAAGACACGGCGTTCGAATCGAATGCGACCCAATGGTTGAACACCACTCACGTAATATGGTTGCCGAAACTGACCACTAGCGTCAACTCAACTCATTCAATATCAGGCGGCCAATACAGGGGCGCCCTGCTGACTAACTGTTGCGCGCCCCCCTTTAGCACACAGCATTACGACCATTGCACCACTGCAAAGTTCCGCTATGGCCCAAGCAGCATTCCCTGACGACGTGCTCCCCGTCGGAGGGTGTATACGATTCACGTGAATCGCTTCTTGCCGCTATCAATTCTTGGGCAATGCCCAGAGGCTAGGCATATACAACGGGCAAGCCGTTAAAACCCCAAATGGTCGGGTCAAAGTTGTATTTGCATGTGATCGAAATAAGCTTCCGCCAAATGCATTAATCGAACGCAAACGCCGTACGTGTAGCCGTGGAACAGTATGCAAGTTTTCCGTGCTTGCAGAACAATCCCTAGATGGGACTTCCTGGTCCTGAGTCATCGCCCAGGCAAGGAGCACGCTACACAATCACCCACCAAGTGAGGACTCATCTGCACACCCAGCACATCGTCAGCTTAGTGCGAGTGACACGAGAGTTATATCAAACATAGCGACCTCTGGAACTGCTCCGCGGGAAATCTGGACATACCTCCACAACAATTCTAGCATCCTCATCAGCACGGCTTACCTTCTGTGGTGTTGACAGACCGATGCCTAACCGCGATGAATGCTGCCGCGACCTGTTTCCCTTTATTAAAGGGTTTGCTTCGCACTTAGCACGTTAATAAGGCAGTTTTGCAGCCTTGCCGACCGGACTTTGTGGCCGATGGGGATCAAGGAGGCAAAAAATGGAATATATTCTACGCATTGTAGCACTCAGTCGCAGCCTCGCCCAGTGAATCGACATTTCAACAGCGTGTTGCTAGTTTTGAGCATAAATATGCTGAGAAATACACAGATGCAGTGGGATACGTCAAAACAATATGGCTAGACCCCGTCAAGGAGATTGTCAGAGCGTGGGTCGATAAACATTTACACTTTGGCAATGTAGCTACCTCAAGGTAAGGTGGCCGATGGCATGATAGAAGACATAGAAACTAATACAGCTGCTAGGGCCGAGGGAATACATTCATTGGTCAAGGCACATATCAAGATATCTTCCTTGGATCTCTTTGACGTTTGGCAAGCCATGAGGCCTGCTCTCACGAATCAGCTAAAAGAGCTGAAGTATGTGCGTGCTTATTAGCAGGTATCAGCTCCTCTGGATGTCTCCGGGGTATTGTTGAGGCCGTACGGGGCTGGGTGTCGCATAAGGCTTGCGGATGAAGGGCGAGCCCGTTTACTCGAGCGTTTCCATCCACACTGGCACTTGAAGCGTGATGCACCCCAGCCATGGCCGATGCTGGAACCTAGAACAGTCCCCGGTCAAGTGAACCGGGTAAATGGCCAACCAGTGACAGGCACCAGGCGAGAGCCCAGTATGTTCGAGGCAATTGGATCAGCGACAAGGCCAAAAGCACAGCCCAATTGTAGTAGATGTCACACGTCAGGTCATATGATGACTTCAAGGGCATGCCTTCTGCGATACGCCGCGCTCTTTCAGTCACCACTGACCAGCGTCTGCCGCAGAAGCAACGACAGGCTCACCAAGTGTGGCGGCAGCAACAGTGGCACCAGCAGCCACAGAAGCAAGGTCAGTACAGGCAATTATAGATCAGATAGAAGCAGGTCCCACGACAGCAGACTCAGCACTGGAGGGCTAACGGCGAGCGCGAGCGCCGTTTTCTGCCTCCCCTTACGACCTGCAACAGACGACGCCGGCTCCTCCGACAAGTGTGACCAAGAAGCACCCTCCACTGAAGTGCCAAGAACAGCCGCCCGCCCGACCCGCACGATGAGCACACTACGGAGGAAGCTACTACCGTAGACGATACGCTAGTACGATCGGTCATCGTCGTGTCAACGGATGAGCCAGGGTGTCTCAGCGCGATAGCTCCTAGCGTCCACGAGAATACTACTGTACAGGGTGGTGTGGACGCCGGGCGCGACGCTGCGAGCGCAGAAGCAGACATCCCAACAATCAGTACTGATGGATAAGACCCTTACTGAAAACTGATTGATTACTTACGACGTTACTGATACTGCTTGATTAGCTTATCAGTAAGTGTGGAGACTGGGCATGCTGGGTGTCGTCATCGCGAGCATATGAATCTATCATGTCCTCGACACACACCACATCGTATACTCCCCTAATATCCCGAGAACAAGCCCAATATCTTGATTTAGTACCCGCGACTGATCTGCAACCTTCTGCATAAATTAATGCAACTCACGAAACTACAGTAGATGCATATTACAAATTGAATTGTTCTTCTTCCAACTTCCAAGGCACTCTGTCATCTCAATCGTTTCCGCCCCAAGACGCGCGCGGTCAAAAGAAATGGTACGTCGAGTGCTCGAGAAGACGCGTTCTGCTTTATCAGACATAGGCGCAATTGAGAGCACATCGAGAGCCATTTTATGCAACCGTGGGTATTCCGTCCGCTGCTCTTCCGTGCTCCACCATGCCAGCGGACTCGATGCAATCTTGCACGGAGTCCCATTCATAAACTTCTCTAGCTCATCTGCGTCGTCATCTTCCGCTTCTGTCACATCAAGCGACCGCGCCAGCTTGTCAAATACGGTCATTTCCATCTCTGGAGCATCCTTTGGGGTGGACTCCACAGCGTAGTCCTTGTACTGACTCCAGATCTGCCTGGCCTTACCAATCGCCCCCTCATGCCAATCTGCATGCCAGTTCTGGCGGAGGTATTTTAATCGCTTGGATGGGTGCAGAAGCAATGCTGTGGAATATATGGGTGTCTCATCGGTCTTGAAATAGTACTTGTCGAGCACAAACCAGCCCATGTGGATGGAGTGGATGAGACATGGGTGGTCGCTATACTTCTTCTGTTTGGCATTGTTCGTTAGCACTGCCAACACGCCGCAGGGATACACCAACAGAACACGTTACCTTAGCATCCTCAAAATGCTTGAGCAAGATATCCATGTGGTAGAGGAGCTGATCCAAAGACGACCATATCATTTGCTGTGCTAGCGTAGCCTGCCAAAATGGCTGGAGAAAGTCCGCCGTCAATCGCAGGATGTCCCAATCATCCTGCGTAAGACAATCATCTCCAAGAGCCTTGTGATGTTCTTGCTGGAACATCATCAGCTTGTCCTTCTTGTCCAGTGCGTTCCGAAGGAGCATGTACCACGAATTCCACCTCGTCGCATTGTCGATGCCGAGTGTGCAGCCTGCCAGGCGGTACCAAGCGTCGCTGTGCACTGTAGATCTTCGAATATAGACAGCGATGTTGTGTAGCTTACCAAGAGGTCCCATGGATCGCCACCCGGCCTGGTCTTCTGTCACCTTCAAGCGCTTACCCTTGGCAGCCCTGTGCCGCAACTGCGCTTGCAGATACTCAACGGCTGTTGCGTCCATGCTTCTATCCGCCTCCTCAATCGCCGCGCAGAGTGCCTCCTTGCTGGAGGCGAACAGGAACGCCTGAAGACACAGGTTGATAATGTGCCCCCCGCATCGGATGCGACGGTCGGTCGGGTGGAATTCAACGCCGAACTCGCTCGCCAGCGACGTCGATAGAGCGCTCATGCAAGTGTCTTT